AGCAGAAAGTCAGTCCCCGTAAGAGAGCACCAACCAGGAACCGAAAGACTGGGAGTCTTCTGAACCAATTTGACACTACTGGGCAGATGAGTCACACAGACACTGGGTGGACAAGAAGTCCTACCACAAACAGGCCACTCCAGTGTAGCACAAGGCAAGTAAGTCCAGAGAATACCAGGCTTGCCAAGGGTCAAGAAACCATGAGTCCTGCATCCCAGCTCAGTATTTGGGAAAAGGATTCACCTGAATAACACCATCACCATGTGCCCTTGGAACTGGAGTCCAAAAACTCAGCTCTCTACTAGGACAGGCAGGCCCCTGGAGAGTGGGCTTATCACGTGCCCTTGGATCTGGAAACCAACACCTCAGCTCTATCCTGGGCCTAGCAGGCACCTGAACAGCAGGCTCACCATGTCCCCTTGGACCTGGAGACCAAGAAAGGAGCCCTGGGCTAGGCCAAGCAGACAACTTGACAGTGGGATCACCATGTACCCTTGGACCTGGAGACCCAAAACACAGCTCTGTACTAGGCCAGGAGTGTACCTAGACAGCAGGCTCAACATGTGTCCTTCGATGCCAATAACAACAACTCAGCTTTACACTTGGCCAAGCAGACGGCTAGAGAATGGGCTCATCATGCTCCCTTGGACCCGGAAACCAACAACTCAGCTCTATCCTGGGCCAAGCAGAAACATTGATAGCAGGCTCACCGCGTGCCCTTGGATCTGGAGACCAAGAAATCAGCTCTCTATTAGGCCAAGCAGGCACCTGGACAGTAGGCTCACCATATGCTCTTGGAGCTGGAGAACAACAATGCAGCTCTGCACTAGCCCAAGCAGGAACGTGGACAGCAGGGGCACCAGGTGCCTTTGGGCCCGGAGATCAACAACACAGCTCGCAATTAGGCCAAACAGGAACCTGGACAACAGGGTTAACATGTGCCCTTGGACCTGGCAACCAATAACAGAGCCCTGGGCTAGGCCAAGCAGATACCTTGATAGCGGGCTCACCATGTGCCCTTGGACCTGGAGACCAACAATGCAGCTCTACACCAAGCCAAGTAGGCACCTGGACAGCAGTCACACCATGTGCCCTTGGACCTCAAGACCAACAACTCGGCTCTTTGCCTGGCCAAGCAGGCAACTGGGCAGTAGGCTCACCATGTGCCCTTGGACCTGGAGAGCAACTACCAAGCTATCTGATAGGCCAAGCTGGTGCCTCGTAAGCAGGCTCACCTTGTGCCCTTGGATATTAAGACCAACAACTCAGCTCTGCGCTAGGCCAAGCAGACCCCTTGCGAGTGGGCTCACCATGTACCCTTGGACCTGGAGACCAACAGTGCAGCTCTGTGCTAGGCCAAGCCGGCAACTAGACAGTGAGTTCACCATGCGACCTTGGATTTGGATTCTTCCTTTCCCCCAGAGCATAGAGCACCCAAACAATGGGCTTGCCACTTGGTCTCTCATTATGAGACCTCCAAACCTGCTCAGCCTTGCACCGATGTGTCCACTGGATCCATGGAAACCTGGGAGTCTTCAAACTGTGATTCCTCCATTCCAACCTATCACTGCGCTACAGAGACACAGGGACACCAGCCTAACCCAAATTCCTCTGAATGGGTGCCTTTCCACTATGCAGACAAGGGGACATTGGAGTCCTTTCTCACCTTGGATTTACTTCAGCTTGATGTCCATGTGGCCTGCTATCTGTGCATTATTCATTTTGGGGGGAGTTCTCCTCAGAAGAAGAAAATGGCACCATGCCGTGGGAGATGAAATAGTCCAGTGGTTTGAAGACTTTGTATTAAAACTCAGGGCAGGAAAGGAGAAGGGGGGATGGGAGGGCATTGGGGAGACCCAGGCCTGGAGAACTATGGAGACATTGTCTGAGATCCTCCAGTTGAAGGAGAGGTGCTCCATCCTCAAGGGAGAGGTGGAGGTCTTAAAACAAGAGGCCAAGCAGTGCAGTGAGAGGCAGGCACAGCTCCATGAGGTGGAGAGGTTCTTCATGCAAATGAAAGTCTTCCTGGAAGTTTCTGCCTTACAAAGGGTGACGCCTGTGCACCCACCCAGGATAGCATAGAAGGGGAGTTGGGAAAAGTGTGGTCATCTCCAGGATTGGGGGTTGGTACAAATGTGAATATTAGTTTAATTAATAAGAAAAATAGTTATTTTTAAAAAACAATTAAAAATGATCATTTCTAAATGAGCAATTTATGAGAACCATCCTTGGGGGATTGTAATGTGCAGCCTGGCTTGCAGTCACTACTGTCCCTTCTGAGTCATCACATTCTCCTGATGCTGGGCAGGGGTCTCCATGGCTCTGAGAAAGGGTTGGTGAATCATACCCAGCTGACACAGCATACCCTGCCTGCCCCGTCAAAACATTCAGACATACTTATTTCTGGATCTCAAGCACAGCTGTTGAGGTCAGCACCGTTCTTATTGGAAGAAAAGGAGAAGCAGTATGTCTATATCCAGGTATTTCTGCATGAAGCGTTTCTGGCTGAGACCTCCCAGCACATTGTTGCTAAACTTGAGGTTGGACACTGATGTTATAGCTTCCAACTGTGGCCATGACAGCAGGTGTTTCTCCGCAACAGGTTCCTGTGTGATACAGGCCTTTGAAGAGCAAATGTTACAAGGCCAGGGAACCAGGGTGAGGCAGTCCAGAGGCATGGGACCATTCCCTGTCTCTCGGTGAGAAGGTGTGGGGTCTGGACGGTAGGCAGAGTGGTGTGAGGGGCCAGGATGGTGGGCTCTGTTCTGTCCAAAGAAAGACCGCAGGAATTGGGGGAGACATGCGGGATTCACATTGGGTGCTTTAGGTGCCTGGCTGTTTGCACAGAGTAAGGCACAGTGCGAGAGAGGTGGGGATAGGTGCACCTTGCAGACTGTAGGGTCTGCTTGGGTATGAAGGAAAGGGACCCCTTCCAAGAGGCAGAGCCGAGGTTCTATGATAAAGTGGACACTGGGGGTCAGAAGGGAGTAGGAAGGTGAGATTCTAGGATGGCCCATCCTGAGAAATGTTGTTCCTTCTTAGCGCCAGGGATGTGGGCTGGAAGCTCAGGTGAGTTGCAAATCCCTGTGAGCTGGGGCCCACCTGTGGCTCCTGCTGAAGTTGCATGGGAAGAGCCTAGAGCTGTGGCCCCTGGGCTGAGCTCAGTCAAGGCAGTGTGCTCATAGCAGCTGGGCATAAATGGATGGAGCCATGCAGAAGCTACCTCCGGCTCCAGACCCCAGGTCTCTGGTTGGGGGGGGGGGCAGGGAATGATGATGTCCCTCTGGGGGGGACAAGGGGTTGGGAGGGGTTTCTGTTGTCGTCAAAAGCTGTGGGCGGTCCCCGCCCTGAAGGCCTGGTTTTAATCACTGTCCAGGAAGTCACAGCCTGACTTTAACATACGAAAGGAAGGAAGACGGAAAATGCTCCTTGCTGGGGCCAGGGTTTCTCCTTCGGTCCCGAGCCGGTTCCTGACCCTCCAGGACCCCTGGCAGTTCGTTTTGAATCCTTAAGTTGACAAGCAGGGTTTACCTGAGCAAACACACATGGGCCTGGAGGTGAAGCTTCCTGCCTCTCGGGGCAGGCTCATGAGGCGCTCTCGGGGGCGTCACCGCGAAGGGCCAGGAGGCAGCGGACGCCAGCACCCAGGTATCCCCCCAGCAGGCGCGCCCCCGCCGCTGCGCGGCTGCAGGAAGGGCGGCACCTGCGCCCTGGGCACCTGCTGCGTAGGCCCCGCCCACCGCGCCGGCCGTTACTGCGAGCACGACCCGAGGCAGAGGTGTGTGCCTGCGGGAGCGGGCTGAGCGTTGGGCGGGGGGCGCAGCGGGGCTTGACCTTGCGGAGGGGAGCGGGGCGGTGGGCGCCGGGTAGGGGTTGGGGGCGTGGAGGGGCGTGGAGGGGCGTGGGTTGGAGGGGCGCGGACACGAAGGGCGGGGCTTGGCGGGGCGCGGACAGCGCATGCGCTCCGACCCCGCTGCTGCCGCCTCTCTGTCTGGGGGCCGGGCGGGGCGGGGCGTGGAGGGGCGGGGCGGGGCGGGGCGTGGAGGGGAGCGGGCGTGGACGGAGGGCGCGGAGTAGGGGTTGGGGGCGTGGAGGGGTGCGGACACAAAGGGCGGGGCTTGGAGGGGCGCGGGTAGCGCATGCGCGCCCACCCCGCTGATGCCGCCTCTCTGTCCGGGGGCCGGGCGGGGCGGGGCGTGGAGGGGCCTGCAGGGGCGGGGCGGGGCGTGGAGGGGCGCGGACACGAAAGGCGGGGCGTGGAGGGGCGCGGACACGAAGGGCGGGGCGTGGAGGGGCGCGGACACGAAGGGCTGGGGGCGGGGCGGGGCGTGGAGGGGCGCGGGCACAAAGGGCGGGGCGTGGAGGGGCGCAGATAGCGCATGCGCGCCGACCCCGCTGATGCCGCCTCTCTGTCCGGGGGCCGGGCGGGGCGGGGCGTGGAGGGGCCTGCAGGGGCGGGGCGTTGAGGGGCGCGGACACGAAGGGCGGGGCGTGGAGGGGCGCGAACACGAAGGGCTGGGGGCCGGGCGGGGCGTGGAGGGGCGGGGTGGGGCGTGGAGGGGCGCGGGCACAAAGGGCGGGGCGTGGAGGGGCACGGGTAGCGCATGCGCGCCACTCCGCTGGTGCTGCCTTTCTGTCTGTGGGCCGGGCGGGGCGTGGCGTGGAGGGGCGTGGAGTTGCGGGGCAGGGCTTGGAGGGCGTGGACACGAAGGGCGTGGCGTGGAGGGGCGCGGGTAGCGCATGCGCGCCGACCCCGCTGATGCTGCCTCTCTGTCTGGGGGCCGGGCGGGGCGGGGCGTGGAGGGGTGTGGACACAAAGGGCGGGGCGTGGAGGGGCGTACAGGGGCGGGGCGGGGCGTGGAGGGGCGGAGCGGGGCGTGGAGGGGCGGGGTTGGAGGGGCGCGGACACGAAGGGCGGGGCGTGGAGGGGGCGGACACGAAGGGCGGGGCGTGGGGGGCGCGGGTAGCGCATGCGCGCCCACCCCGCTGCTGCCCCCTCTCTGTCCACTCAGGGAACGCGGCGCCCTGAAACACGGAGCCTGGACCTGCCGCCGCTGCCGCCTTTGCAGGTGTGTGTTCGCAGCTCTGCACTGTCTCCCCCGGCAGACGCCGGGCAGCTGCGGTAAGAGGAGCGCGTCCTGTGCGCACAGTCCCCGCTCGCAGGGCACTGCTCCTTGGTGCCCTCCAATCCGCAGGGATGTAGCTGGGCCAGGCGACACGGAAATGAGAAGCGGGGTTGATCGATCACTTAGGAAAGTCACACTGGTTGGGAATCACATAGCATATTATCATTATTATTTAAGGTGGTTCCTAGGTTTACTCGGCCCCGACTGCTGGGTTTAAGTGTGTTTTCCAAACGGTGTCCTTGGAGTGCGCAGACTTGGGGGAGCTCAGCAGCTGGTAAGCAGAGCCAAGCCTGGCAGAGAGGTTGCCCACGCGATCTCCAGTGACGGCCCTTCACCACGCCAACACCGTCTCCTTAACTTTGAAAAGAGGACGGCACCGGAGCAGAGCGGGGACCAGCGTGGATGGCCAGGCGCCGCCCTTTAGAGCCAACCAGGCAGTGCTCCCTGAGAAGGAAGGCACCTTGTAACCACCCTCAGACCTGCCAGGCATACGAAAAGCCAGGAGGGTGTGGAGAGCACATGGGGTGAACACTCATCTGTGAGAATTCTGAGCAGGGAGCAAACTCAAGGCACGTGTTTCCCTTGTTAAACTCCGGAACATGAGTTTCCTGGGTCAGAAAACAGACTTAGGAAAAGGAGGCACAGCATTTCCATCCTACATCCTGCGCCCTCTCCCGTCTTCCGCACGCTCTGCCTGGACTCCAGTGAGAAGCCCAGTGAATGAAGGCGCACCCCTTCAGCCTCTTCATCAGCCCTGGGGGCCTTGGCTGTGCAGGGAGCACTCAAAGCTCCCAGACCCCCTTTTCTGTTCCTCCGTCCACCTTCTTCGACTCTGGCCGAATCCCACAGTTGAAGGGGATTTACTTCCTCATATCACAGCCCTTCAGCAGCACTCCCCACGCCTCCATCCACGGTCAGGACTGCAGGGGAGGGGCGGCACCACGGGGGTGGACCCTCCAAAGCAGCGTCCTGCCCCTGCCTTCCTGGTGGGCCCAGGAGTGGAGGAGCACACTTAAGGACTGCTCAGCTTCCAGCCCACCTTCCTGCCCCTCCCTCCCTGTGCTGCAACCTTGGGGAGGATGAGCTGTGAAGAGAGGCTGAATGAAGGTACAGCCCATCAGATATTACATCAAAGAGAACATGCAGATGGAAAATTAGCACAAGAAAAAATGTACAAACTCACTAGCCATGAGGGAAATGCAAATGAAACCCTGAGAGTTATCATGACTACCCACCTGTTAGGACAGCTGGTTAATATAAAATACAGTACTACATTTCGGGTGGGAATGTAAATGGAACAGCAACGCTGGTAGGACAGTGTGATAGGTTCTATAGAAGTGAAACATAAACCCTATAACCTCGCAAGCACTCTCCTGGACCTTCATCCCAGAAATGAAAATTTAAGATCCCATGACTCACTCTGCACAATGGTTCACTGCAGGTTTATTTGTAATAGATGAAAGACTAGAAACAAACAAAGGGGTGAAGAGTGCCTCTGTGAAGGGACGTTTCTGAACTACCGGCAGCTTTCTGTGAATCTATAAATCGACCCCTCTACCTCCCTACCTCTCTGTAGCAGGTGCTCCACCTGTCAGCACACCTCAGAATAGTCCCTAAGACTAGCAGTCCCACCCTGGCTCTCTGGATCTCCAAGTATCCCTAACAGCCCCAGAACCCTAAGATGTGGGTGTCAGGCAGCAGTGAAAGAAGCAGGTAATTGTTCTCTGTTTTGTAGTTTGTTCCTGTCTTCTTCTTTTGCTGTCTCCTTTGTGATTTCCTGATGTTTTCTACTTATGCTTAGATTCCTTTTTCTTTCTCTTTACTATAACTACTGGAGGTTTTAGCTTTGTGAATGCTACCAAGTGTACATAAAACATCTTAGAGTTATAACACTTCATTTTAGGTGATCAAAATTAAATTCAATAGTATATAAAACCTCTACAATTTTCCTACTCCTGCCCCACATGTTTTATTCTATTGATGCCAGACTTTATGTTCTTTTATATTGTGTATCCATTAACACCTTATTGTAGTTTGGATATTTTTAATAATTTTCTTGAAGGGCCTGTTACCAAGGACATTGCTGGGCTTGGATCCTACCTGGTCCCTGGGTGAAGTCATGTCCTCCAGGACCAGAGTCAGTAAGAATGAAACTGGGACAAGGTTCTACTCCAAGGTACACAGTTGAGTCCACAGAAAGTGAACTATAACCAGGTTTGTGAATAAAGGATCCTTCCACCAGTTCCTGGGAGGTTCTTGTCAGGTAGGTGGACAGGTCCTAGTTCAGGCAAGATTGGCCCCATACCATGGCTTAGCAAGGCAAGAATTGAGTCATGATGTTGCTTCAGAAACCAGAACTGGGACCAGTGTCTGCAACTTGTATCTGGGGGTACAGATAATTGTGCCCCCTGCCATGTTCTTGGGTAGGCAGGACTGTCCCTTGACAACAGAGCAGTGGGCAGGGAGGTAGGTCGTAGGGCTGATCAGAATACTCTGATCAAGGTCAAGGGGCCTGCCTATGGGGACAAGGATGGGTGTGGTTCCTCCCAAATCCCTTGGTGGATGATGCTGGTATAAGGACAAAGTCCATATACAACCGTAGCTGAGTCTACAGGGAGACTGGGTGTCTACAGAGGTCCTTCTCAGTCTATAACCAGGACCGTGGCAGGAGAATGTGACACATGGTTGTACATATGCCTTCTCAAAAAGGTCATTCTCAGGCTTGGACTCCATCTGTTTTACACAACATCATACCTGGATTCCAAAGGTCACTTAAATACAAGTTCATCAGTGGATGGCTGCACATTGGTGTTGCTGGGGACTATGAATGGGGAAGCCTCCTATTACACTATCTTCTTCAGCCATATATTCCTGATGAAATTAAAATTTTTTCTGATGGGGCATCTACGTGGCTCAGTTGGTTAGGCCATTGGCTCTTCATTTTGGCTCAGGTCATGAAATCAGGCTCTTGGTATAGAGCCCCATATCAGGCTCCATGCTCAACACTGAGTCTGTTTGAGGATTCTCTCTCTGCCTGCCCTCCCCCTCTTTAAATCCATAAATAAATCTTTAAAAAAATGTTTGCTTATGGAAGAAAGAAATTTATAAATGAGAATAATTTTGGAGAGGAGAGAGGTTATGTGGAGCCTCAAAGGCTGAGAATATCTACAATTTTGAGAAACTGCCTACATTCCATGATCACTTCCTGTCTCTCATGGGGATTTTATTGAAGAGGGGCATAGTCAACACAAGTTAAAAGCCTAGTTTATTTTGATAGACTCTGTCTATTTTGAAAAGCTGAAAAGAAAAAATTTGTTTACACTTCAAAGCAACAGTGTTAAAACTAATATGCAGCACATGGACAGAAACCTTAAAGAAAATTATGATTTTGGGGGCACCTGGGTGGCTCAGTCAGTTAAGCAGATGCCTTTGGCTCAGGTCATGATCCCAGGGTCCTGGGATCCAACCCCGTGTTGGGATCCCTGCTCAGCAGAGAGCTTCTTCTCACTCTCCCTCTGCTGCTCCCCCTGCTTGTGCTCTCTCTGTCAAATAAATAAATACAATATTTTTTAAAAGCCTACATCAATAAAAAAAATAAATATTTCAAATAAATAAATTTATATACCTCAAAAACTAACAAAAGAAGAACATACTAACCCCAAGTTACCAGAAGAAAGAAGAAATAAAAATTACCTCAGAAATAAATGCAATCTGGGTGCCTGGGTGGCTCAGTCGTTAAGCGTCTGCCTTTAGCTCAGGTCATGACCCCAGGGTCCTGGGATCCAGCCTCCCATTGGGCTCCCTGCTCAGCGGGAAGCCTGCTTCTCCCTCTCCCACTCCCCCTGCTTGTGTTCCCTCTCTTACTGTGTCTCTCTCTGTCAAATAAATAAAAAATCTTACAAAAAAAAAAAAAAAGAAAGAAATGCAATCAAGAACACAAATGCAGTAGAAAACATCAGTAAACTAACAGCTGGTTTTGAAAAGATAAAGTTATTTTTTTTGTTGTTAGATACACAAGGACAAAAATCAAATAAACAAAATTACAAATGAAAGAGGAGACATAGCAACAGATAATACAAAATTATAAGGAATCATAAGAAACTTCTATTAACAGTTACTCTACAAAAATTTGTATAACAGAAACAGAAAAAAAAATTCCTAGAAATAGCCAACCTACAAAGATTGAATCATAAAGAAATAAAAAATCTAAATGAAGAAAGAACAGGAAGACTGAAACAGTAATCAAAGAAGAGCAGGGAACACTTGCAAATAATCTTACCAATCTTACCAGGGAAGCCTTACTGTTAAACCAAGGCCAGAAAATGACACCACAAAAACAAAACTACAGGCAAATATCCCTAATGAAGATAGTTGCAAAAAAGCCTCAATTAAATACTAGCAAACCCAATTCAAGAGCACATTAAAAAGAATCATACACAATGACCAAGTGGGATTTATCCCTGGGATATAAACATGATTCAACATATACAAATCAGTAAACACGATAAACCATATATTTAACAAAATGATATAAAAATCATATGATCATCTCAATAGGTGCAGGAAAAAGCATTTGATAAAATGCAACATATTGTCTTGATAAAAACTCTCCACACATTAGTTATAGAAAAAAAAAAAACACATAATAAATCAATACTAAAAATGCTGAAAACTTTGTTTCTCTAAGATCAGAAACAACACAAGAATGATCATCTTAAAATTTCTATTCCGTATAGTACTGAGAGTTCTAGCCAGAACAATTAAGCAAGGAAAAAATAAAAGATATTCAAATCAGAAATAAATAATCTAACTTACTTCTTTTTACAGATTATATCATCTTGTATCCAGAAAACCACAGAAGAGTCTATCAAATAATTGTTAGAACTAATAAACAAACTCAGTAAACTTGCAGGATATAAAATCAATATACAATAATACACTAATGATGAAGTATCAGAAAGAGAAATTAAGAAAATAATCCATTTACAATAATATC